CGCTGGCTTTAGTGTTTTAAGGTGGGAGCCGCGCTGCGGTCTGTGGGGCGGGATGCGGCTCTGACGGACGGACCGACGGACGGAGAGCTTGGAGTAAAGAAAGGAGGGATGTGTCAGCAGCAAAGTGTGGCAGCAGACATGGCGTTTCCACCAAAATGTTACTTAAGTCGGCTTGCAGTGTAATAAATATAATTCATTTGAGGACGTGCTGCTGTGTGTGTTCCGCGGTTATCCCAATGTGTTGAAGCCAGGAGTAATGGGCAGGTTTTGGAGGGGAAATTACTCACCAAGTGCATGTGCTTTGCGTTTTTTTAATTTTTATTTTGCAGAAGAGCCCAAACTGTTGAGCTTTTCTGTGTTTTTAAAGGAGAATCTGTGAAGCGAGATGTATCCAAAGTTAAAATCCATCAAAGTTCTCATCGGAATAAGTGTTGCACTGTTTTAAATTAAGGTTTCCAAACATATTTTTAGCGATTTCATTGTTTTTCTCTATTAAATACTTCTGTAAAACACAAGACACTAATCTTTCCCTGGATACATTTTGAAGTCGGGGTCCTTTGCTTCTGTGTTTAGCACAGACCGGTACTAGGTCGTTTATTTTTAGATGGAATACAGTTTAGTTAACTTCTGGTGATACAAACAGTGCTGCTTCTCATCTAAAGTGATTCCAGCTGTAGAAAAAATTATGGGCCAAATCTGATTAGAACAAGAATTCTCCTTTACATTTTTGCCCTGTTTTCAGCTGTTTTAAGAAGAGAGCTTTATAGAATTGTAGATCAGTTTTCAGACATCAAATTAGAGTGTATGTTGATGAAATAATTCACTTATGAAGTGTTGGTTCCACTCTGCTTTTTCCTGTAGAAGTTAAATAAAGTTGTATTAAGCTTTATAAATTCATGAAGGTTAATTAATGTATTTTTCTCTCTTTTTTTTTTATGTGTGTGTGTGTTTGTTTTTCTGAAACAGTAAAATTTTTAGAAGTTATTAAGCCATTCTGTGCAGTGTTACCCGAAATCCAGAAACCAGAAAGAAAAGTGAGTGCCACATTATGTTCTTACTTTTATTGGTTCACAGATAAGAGAATATTGTGCTATGTGAGTCCACACTCCAATATAAATACAGACAGTGGGCCTTAAGGTAGGATGTATTCTTTGGAAGAGGTGGAATCCATAATAAGGTAAAAGATTACCATGATGATGAATTCTTAACAGCCGCCTTGGTAATTATACTATTTTTTTTGAAAGAGTCTCATTTCTAGACTAAGTTTATTTAGTTTTAGCTCCGTATGATTTGATTTATTTTAATATACTTGAATGGAACTTTCAAGCATTTTTTTCCTGTGGCTACCATTGTTGTCTGAGTACTGGTCACAACTCTGGGCTTTGAGCTTGATTTATAGATTATTTTGAAAAGGCTTGCACTGTAATTCAGGAACCACAAACTTAGTTCTTCCTTTCCCACAAAATATTTTCTACTCCAGTAGCCATGATTCACCTTGATGAAGTGGGAAGGTGATCGGTGAGATAGTTCAGATAATTGCTCCCTGTTCCCCTACTGGATGTGACACTTCTCTTTGTTCTGAAATCAGTGAATTGAGTTCATTGACAGCTGATCTTTCTGTTCCCTTAGCCCTAGAAGCTCCTTCCATTTCTTGGCACAATTTCTAGATTAAAATTAATTTCGTAGATCAGAAATAGACCTTCCTTGTCACAAGTTTTATCCTTGTGAATAAAAGCCACCGCTGTTTTTTACTTCCAAAACTCAAGCACACACGTATTGCCTAGGTGACAAAGGTTCTAATTAGAGAAACAAATTTACTTAATCTTCATTGTCGTGACTGGCCTTAAGGGCTAAATGTTGATTTTTATGTTCTTAAAAAGAAATTATTATCTGGGAACATGACACCATCCGAGAGAATCCTCTTATGTCGATGAGAGATTCCTGAAGGTTAGGTCTGGATGCAGAGATGTTTGTGCCAGTAACCACAGCTGAGCCTTCTGGACTGAATGGAGAAGATACGGTAAAAACTGCTGATTATTCCCCCCCTGGAATTGATTTTTAAAGAGCTTGGGATTTATCCCCTTGCTCTTTGCTCCATCTGTCTTTTCTTCAGCGCCTTCCCCTCTTGGGACAGGTTTCCAGACAAATTATTCAGCTCAGACAAAGTCTTCTTCAGAGCAGGAGTCTCTAGAGCCAGACTCTGTGCTAAGTTTTTGTTGTACCAGATGTGGATGGAAGGTACCCATCTTTGTTTCTGCTGCTGTGAACCTTAATGCAGTCTTTTGATGCTGATTTATGGCAGATCTGTGGTTAGTTGGTTCCATCCACCCATTCCATTTTTGTCTAGTGAAGTGGATGTGAAGAGGAACCTAAGACAAATCTACACATATTGATGTTTCTGTAAAGCTTGTAGACAGTTGCAATTTTTCTCTTGGTTTTTTTTTTGGGGGGGGGGTTTCCTCCTCCCTTTCTATTTGCCAGAGAGGAAGAGGGGCTTGATCTGTCCATGTCCTCCATCAGCAGATGAAGGGTGCCCAGGGAGGTGCCAAGATTCCTGTCCTCTCTATTTGGGTCACTTTGTCTTTATTACAGTCTAGGTCACTGTCTAGGCAGTGACTGCCAGTTGCCAGCTTTGTACACATTCGAGGTGAAGACATAATTGGGAACATCTTTCCTAGACTGGAGAGCCCTTTGACCGTTTAAATTATGTTCCTTGCTTGTCTGTAGTTTATCAAGTGACCTGGGTCATTCTGTGTCACTGTAATTCTTTGTTCTGTGTTGTTTTCTTGCAAGCTGTCAGTAGCAGACATCATTAGTAATGGTTTTACTGGCTTGGTTAAGGCCAGGACAAGACATGAAGATAACAAAATAGAAAAAGAAATCTGTTTTCTCTAGACTTGTCTGGATTGGGGAGTGAAGATGAAGTTTTGATTCAGTTGGGATGTCATTGAATCATTTTGCCATTACTGTTGATGAGGGAACTGGGCTTTTTCTGTTACTAGGAAGCATTGCTTTTGTGCTTTGGCCAACTTGGTTAACAGAAGCAGTTGCTACTTTTGTAGTTAGTAGTATTGTTTGATGTTTCCCTCATATGCACAGATTTTTCTGAGTAGAACACACTGTTCAGAACACCAAGAAGATGATGTCCCTTCATTTTCACAAGTTTTAAGAAAAATGTCAAAGGAATATAATGTCCAATTGAATCTGCTCAGTTGATGAAATGTCCTGTCCCTGTGCTTGTTATCATTTATGGCTGGAATATTTTGGTACCAGTCTGTATTTTGCTGTTCCTGGCATATGGAATCAGACGCCTCCTTTTTCTTTTTTGTCTTTTTGAATCCTAAAGACTGTTTTCCTTGTGAATAACTGACTTGGGTGATGCAGATTTTTCTAATGCTCATGTTCATCACAGTCAGAGGGAGAGACAGAGCAGTTGTAGAGCTTGAGTGATGCCTCAGAAGCTAAGGTTAGTTGTTGGGCTGCAGAGATAATTTGGTTAAGCATTTTTCTTTTTAGAAGTCTGTACTTAAAATCTGAATCATAGAATTCATGCAGCACTGTGGGTAAATTGGGTCAGCACTGCATAAAGTCTAACACAAGATACTGTTTGGATTTATTTGCTGCTGTCACTATTTTTCTTTTTTTAACTTTATACTGTGAGTATTTTTAGCATCTGGCCTCTTTTAAAAGAGTGAGGCAGTATCAGTAAATAAATTACTGGAATTATTTTGCTTCTAAGTAAGTGCGTGGTTCCACTTAAAAAGATGTAGACTGCTTCTGGGTGTTCTTTTGCTTGAGAAGCATCAGTTTGTAGTTTCTCATTTGTGGGTGTTCAGTACCTATAAACCCAGGCACTAATCCTATTTCTTGTTACTTCTCTACAGGCAGATTCAGTGATTGGAGGCAGAAAGCTAATATTTCTGCTGCACTTATCTTACATGTTAGTTCATGTCACGTTTTAGTAGCTGCTGTACTCTTGCCTGCAGTGAACACACTTATCCTAACGTTTACGGTCCGTGGAGGAGAGGTGGGAACTTGAACATAACACTGCATCTTAGCTCTGTCTGGTCTCAAGTGCGTTTCTTTCTATCTCATGCTTTGAGTAATCCTCTGGTGCAAACTTAAATCTTGTGATTCTTCTCTTCCTACACCTCACACTAGTTACAATTGCCTCAAATTTTGTAACCCTGAGATTCTTTTCAATATACTAGTGACTAATGATCATTGATCTGACTTTCTTTTTAAAGTAATAGATAATCTACGTGGATAAAAATATTTCGGAGAGGAAGAAGAATCTTTAAAAACTATTTTGTGATCTCTGTCAATGAACATAATGGTGAATTTAAGCTTCCTCTAAAACCCTTTGAGGAACTTAATTCCACATATTCTTAATTGCTATCCAAAACTCTCATGGTTCTTCTGGTTTTTATCACTTGTCTTCACAGCAGTTAAATTTCTTTAAAAACTACCTAGTGCTTTAGTTCAATAACTTCCAGCCTTACCAAACAGTGCCTCCAATCTGTTGAAGCCTGGGGCACTAATCACTGAAGATAAGTTTTTTTTTGCATTAATCTTTCATGTTTGTACTGGTATGTCCATGTTTTTAGCCATACTAATGCTTTTCTGTAAATACTCACTGTGTTAGAGTACTAGACACAAAATTCATTCTACTCACTGAATCTTGGCCATGCTGCCTGCCAGATCCCATATAAGTTTTCTTGGACTACACAGAAGTCTGTGACTGTCTCTCTCTATAAAATATGAAATCATATTAAAAATAAATTCTAATGAGAAATGATGCCTCTGTTTCAACATCTTTGCATTTGATTCTCAATGATACAGCATTTAGCACTAACGTGAGAGTGCAGTGAAAATTCTGCATGCAGTGAACACATTAATCTCTACAATTTTTGTTCTGTAGATCCAGTTCAGAGAGAAGGTGCTATGGACGGCTATCACGCTATTCATTTTCTTAGTATGCTGCCAGGTAGGTTGTTTTGATGTTTTCTGTGTTTCAGAAAATGTGTGTTCTGTAGATATAAAATAGAAGGCTGAAAGTGTGAGAAGTTCCTGTTTCATGTTGACCTGCCATTTTCAGTTATGTATTTTTAGGGTTAAGTATTTAACCTGATTCTCTGAAATAGTCTTTATTATTGATTGTATATGTTTTTAGAAACTAATGTTTCTATTTAGTCTAAAATATGTAGTATTTTTTTCTTGGTTTATGAAAGATCCTATCAAATTATGATACTGGCTGCAGGGTGAAGGGTCAAGTTAATTATTCATTGAGGAGTCTAAAACTGAGCAATATTCCACCTTCTTTACCCTCTGTTCACAGCTAAATATAAATTTTAGCAGTAACAAGTTTGGAAGTGAAACAAAGTGACCGTTTTTACCTGATGACTCTTGAACAAGCTGATGGGTTATAAAGATTGCAAAAAAATGTTTCTGAGGTGTTTTAAGTTGACATTGTTTTTTTTGTGAATATACTGACAAAAATGTTAGCTAAAACCCCTCCACAGCACGGGTCTTTGTAAACATTTACGTGTTCTTTATTACTCACAGTTGCAGGAGCTCCTAGAACCTGGGTTGTAAACAGATCGATTTTTTAAATTCTTTTTTAAGAACACTTAGGTATTGCAGAAAACAAGAATCCATGTATTACTTGATATATATTTTTTAGAAGTTGTAGATCTCTTAGAAGATTTAAAATGAACTGCACATCTTCAGAATCAGGCTTTTCAGGTTATATTTATTAAGTTACCCATTCCAGACTCTGGAGCAGTAATTTAATAGGTTTTGTTTACAGCTCTGGAGGATTGTTGAAAGGCTCAAACCCAGCTCCTGTACTCGTCTGTTTTTTTTGGAAGGAGGAGGCGGGAAGGATACTAGAGCCAGAAGAATGTGTAGTTTCTCTGTGTTTCCTATATGCATAATTAAGATTTGTTTTTGTAGCACAAGATTATAATAGTTGAGTAGAAAATCAGATGGTGCAGGCTAGAGCTGTTGGGAATTTCTTGCCTGGATTCCTTGTCTACTGTTTTTATGATTAAGAATATTTTTAAAGAGCTCAAAATCCCTCAGGATTGACATCTAGAATATTGGAGGTTTTGTATGACCTTGACTAAATTTGACAGTTCCATATGGGATATTTTAAAACATATTCCCAGCTGTAGAATTTGAATATTTAAACTTGCTGGAGGAAGATATTTACATTGTCATTTATGCTGTATCTTTTAATTTATACCAAAAATAAATTTGGTTTAGGTCCATTTAAAAAAAAAAAATAAATAACCTGCTTTCTTCTGTCTTCTCAAAGATGTTTTGCTGCATTTTCTCTCTTTTTTTTAAACTCAAAATTGCTGCAAAAACTTTGGTGAAATAAGTAGTGGAATGTAATCTGATATTATTCCCTCTCTGTTAATGATTTGTGATGGCTAACCTGTTTATTTTATGCTTTTCCTATTCTTTTGGGGAGTTGTAGTACTCCAGACTGTGTATGTCAGGCATTTACATATTCAACTTAATTAATCTGATTTATGTGCACTGGCTCTTCTTTCTAGGAGTTTCTGCTTTTTCCTGTAGAAGGGTCTTAGTTTACATAGTTTAGTCCTCTGAGTTATACCCCAGTGGAGGATTAAAATAGATGGTGCCAAGTATCTCTGTTATTGTATGCTCTAGTTTAATTAAAAAAAGAGGAGTAAATGATATTAAATGGTGTAACAGTTGAATCATTAGAGGTTGAGGTTGTTGGATTAAAGCAAGCTTTCTTTGTCTGTCTGCCTAATACCGCTGTGCGCTTTGACAGATACCTTTGTTTGGAATCATGTCATCAGATTCTGCAGATCCGTTCTATTGGATGCGAGTCATTCTTGCATCAAACAGAGGTCAGTAGATTATTTCCTTTCTCTCTGTTTTGTAGCAGTATGAACAGTCCAGGAGAAAAACAGTTGGCTGTTAAATTTCATACCAACCCAGATGTCATGTTGAAACACTTTACGAAGTTCGTTAACACAGACGTAGTTAAAATTGACTGACCATTAAGAAGTACTTCATCTTGGAAATGGGGTTTCCTTTGACATGCAGATGAGATTAACCTTGATTCTCAAGTTTTGAGATGGTTCTGTTTTAAATTGTAGAGCAATCTCTTTCTGGTTGATGTACAGGACAGGGAATTTTCTACCCCACCACTTAGGAACTGCACTAATGTGCAGTATGAGTGTGTTGACTAGATAATAACTTTATGTGTGCAAGTCAGTTATGCCTCATAATATTTTGGCAACGTTATGGGTGACTGATTTTACAGGTGGGCAAGTTAATGGAAGAGATGATTAGGCTTATAGTTTAGCAAAGCCAAACTAACTTACTCTAGAATAGACAAGTGGATCCCAACCTAATGTATAAGAAGACTTAAACTAATGCAAGTCTGAAACTTAAGATGAGTGACCTGGCATTCATGACTAAATGAGGACACTGACCTCATCTGTATCATGGAAAATTGGCTGAAAGTAAGAAAATCAGTGGAACCTTCTAATGTGAAGGTACAAATTATTTAAGAATGGCAAATTTTGTCACACCAGTGAAGATAATAAATGAAGGTAAATAAGTTAGCTGTTTCAAACTCTACTGCAGAATGTACAGGTAAAAATTCTGTGTCTGACAATAGGCTGAATATGCCATCCACTAACCAGACAGAATGGTAGTAGTGACCAATAAAAGACTAGAGAGACTGTAAAGGCAACAAAAAGCAGGATTGGGAAAGTTAATTTACACTTAAGTCAACTGACTGCATGTCATTGGAGGATGTGAGGTAAAGACTAAAGTTTTTGACATCCTAGTTTTCTTGCTGTTGGAGAAGTAGAGATTTCTGTGAGAGATGACATGATATTTAACATAGTACTGAACAGTGTGTAGGCTCTAGGATGCAGGTGACTGGGAGGGAAAAGCAGGAGTTTCTGGAATATACACCTGTGTGCTGCAGCAGTAGTGTTTTATGAAGTTATATCGCCCTGTTCAAGCTGTGCATGGTTGGACATTGATACCTCAGTGACGTTGTGCCAGTAGGTAAATTGCCAGAGCAGAACATCTTCACGATGTGTGTTTGTTCTTTTAAGAACTAGTTTAATCCTAAACTTCTGCGCTCTTAATTAGAGTCAGTGATTCCAAGAGCAGCATTGTCAGCCACTGTGGATCTGAACATCTTTCTTGTGATCTTCAAAACTGAACTTCTGGAAAGTTTGACAGTTGAAGCACTGACAAGAATAAACAACCAAGGGACAGTGAAAGGTTCCTTGATACCATATGCCAAAAAACTGAGCTTCAGCATACATTGACCTTTAGTGTTAGCATGGTTTCACAAAAATATTTGAAGTGGAAAGCTATGTAGGTTTATCATGCTGCCCTCAGAATTACAGATTTTAACACAGCAGCCTTTTTCATGAGGAGATAACAGTCTTTGTTTTGATCATACCTATACTGGAATATACATGTTGGAAGTGTTATGAAAAATGTTCCTTATAGGTCAGAAACCTTTCAGCAGACCTAATATCCTCAGAGTATAATTCTTTAGGGGAGATGCTTGAATGGTAATTGTATTTATTTTTCTTCTTGTTTAGGTACTTTGATGGAATTGGGTATCTCACCCATTGTGACATCCGGTTTGATCATGCAGCTGCTAGCTGGAGCAAAGATCATCGAAGTTGGTGACACTCCAAAAGACAGAGCCTTGTTCAATGGGGCTCAGAAATGTAAGTTCTGTTGCAATTAAAATTAATGAGCTTATTTTTATTCTTGGGAAAGCAGCCTGCCTGAGTGATACTAGATGTGAGATTTCTTTGGTAGGTGATTTCAGCAGATTGTTTTTAAAGGATTTGCTTTCTCTCTTGTTTTAGTATTTGGGATGATTATTACCATTGGGCAAGCCATTGTGTATGTTATGACCGGAATGTATTTGAAATGGGTGCTGGAATTTGTCTTCTTATTATAATTCAGGTTTGTAATGAGCTGTTTTGTGTGTAACTGAGGCTGGTTAGATCCAGTGTAGCTGGAAGGAAAAATCTTTCTATGCCTGATTGCCATTTATTTATTTTTAATGCTGTAAAGCATCATCCTTTGTATCTGTCTGTCTATATATGAGAAATTCTAAATATTCCATAAAGGAAGATAAAGTTGGGATGGTTAATATCAAAAATGTTTCAGATAGGAGTGGATGTGTGATTGAAAATACTGAAATAAGTAGACTTCAAAAGCGGTAGCTGCTGTTCAGTACCGTGAAGGGCTTCTGACTAAATGGCACAGGTTCAGCTTTGAGATATTATCCTGTAGAGCAAAGCAGTAAACGCACAAACTCAAACACTTTCTTGAAAAAAGTGCTTACTGACTAATCAGTTTGCCAACATCAGTGTTGAAAAGTCCCAGAGATCATTGCCAGGTGAGATGCACAGGCATTTGTGAGAGGGCAGAAATACGCATGAATGAAAAATTTAGTGATCTCTCTCCATCATGATGGAAATAACTGAAGCAGGGCATTAATACATAAATCTTGACTTGATTTATTCTTGTTTCTGCTCAGTTTTGTTTCTTTTCCCACAGCTGTTTGTTGCTGGTTTGATTGTGTTGCTGTTAGATGAGTTGCTACAGAAAGGTTATGGCTTGGGGTCTGGTATTTCCCTGTTTATTGCTACCAATATCTGTGAAACCATTGTCTGGAAGGCTTTTAGTCCCACTACCATCAACACTGGCAGAGGTACCTGTGCGATTACAATGCGTTATAACGTGTTTCAGTGCATGTATGCTCTACATAAACTATTAGAGGTTTATTGGATATTAAAAAAAGATGGTTTAATGTGTGATGGTTAGCTTCTGAAGTCAGTTGTCTGACATTGAAGCTGAAAATCTTATCTGATTCAATTGAAGATTAATAACCTACAAGTTTGTCTTTGCTGATTTGGTGGCCTTCTGTGATGGAGTTACAGCATTCTACGTTCTGTAAGCTAGAACAGAATCCTGTGTTGTGATATATTTACTGTAATAGGATTTATGTCCTATTGTATCTGATTTTATATATATAATTTTTAAAATTTCCAAAAGAAAGATACTGTTTTTTAAATGTGTTAAATTTACTGATTAAAATGTCTTTTACTTTTTTGTTTTGTGCAGGAACAGAGTTTGAGGGTGCTGTGATTGCATTATTTCATCTTCTGGCTACACGAACTGACAAAGTCCGGGCTTTGAGGGAAGCTTTTTACCGACAGAATTTGCCCAATCTCATGAATCTGATTGCCACAGTATTTGTATTTGCTGTAGTCATATATTTTCAGGTAAAATGGGAAATTCCTCATAGCAGCTCTGCAGCTGTGTAGGTGGGAGCGCACAGACTATAGACACTGCAGTCATTGGGAACAACTCAAAAGTTAAACCAGAGCAACTGAAGTGTCTTAGCTTTGAATTTCATTTAATTTCATAAAATCATAGAATGGTTTGGGTTGGAAGGGACCTTAAAGATCATCCAGTTCCAACCCCCCTGCCATCAGCAGGGACACCTTCCACTAGACCACGTTGCTCAAAGCCTCATCCAGCCTGGACTTGAACACTTCCAGGGAGGAGCATCCACAACACCTGTTCCAGTGTCTGACCACCCTCACAGTGAAGAACTTCTTCCTAATATCTCATCTAAACCTCCCCTCTTTCAGCTTAAACCCATTTCCCCTTGTTTTGTCATTAAGTGCCCTTATGAAAAGTCCTTCCCCAGCTTTCTTGTAGCCCCTTCAGGTACTGGAAGGCCACTATAAGATCTCCCCAGAGCCTTCTCTTCTCCAGGCTGAACAGCCCCAACTCCTTCAGCCTGTCCTCATATAGGAGAGGTGCTCCAGCCCTCGGATCATCCTGGTGGCCTCCTCTGGACTTGTTCTAGCTGCTCCAGTTCTCTCTTGTGTTGGTGGCTCCAGAACTGGACGCAGTACTCCAGGTGGGGCCTTACGAGAGAGGAGTAGAGGGGCAGAATCCCCTCCCTCGACCTGCTGGCCACGCTGCTCTTGATGCAGCCCAGGACACGGTTATTGGCCTCTGGGCTGCGAGCACACATTGTCTGCTCACGTTCAGCTTCTCACTCACCACCACTCCCAAGTCCTTCTCTTCAGAGCTGGTCTCAAGGTTCAGTATTGTTAAAGATAGTTCAAGATATTGTTCAAGATTTCAATATTGTTATTTCAGTAACGTACCTCTGTGCCAGTACAGCTGTTAAATTTTATAGCCAGACATAGAGAGTGATGTCATCTCACATTCCATTAAATGCTGTACACCATATGAAAGTGTTTTTACTAAAAATGGATTCTGAAATTGCAGCGGTTGTATAACACAAACAATATACTTGATACTCACAGTTGAGTTAAAAGAATACCTTTGGACAGAGCTAAAGAACTGTGCTGCTTTGGGGTGTGCATGAGACAAATTTGTCCTAGAAAAAACAGCCGTGTAATTAATGCATAGCTTACTGGTTTTTCCATCATTTTCTTGAAATACTTAGCTAGTATTTCTTTTTAAATGTAAGTGTTTACTAAAATGGACACTAAAGGAGATCCATATGGTCATTTCTTTTTAATCTTTTGTGTGTGTGTGTGTGTGGCTAAAATGTGATTTTTTTTAAAAAAAACCAAACCAACAACTTTTTGTTGTTGTTGTTAAGCTGTTGAGTCAGAGTGCTGGCATAAATTGAATTCTCTGTTTTTCAAATCCACATGGCTTTTCCTGGGTTTACTCAGATAGGAGCCTGCCCCAGAAAACAGAAGGCTGGGCTTACTACACAAAAGTCTGCTGTTAACTTGCTAGCCAAGTTAAAAGCCAGTAAAGGTTTTTACCAAACCCTATCCTATAACGTGAATTTTAGAGGAATATAATTTAGCAGATGAAACATGGTGTTTTATATAAATAGAATGTAATACAACCAAGCAGGAAAACTTAGAAATCCTTCAAATTTGTAACCCAGCCTGTAGCAGAAAGCCTTTGGGTTTTACTGTCTCAGGCCTTGCACTCCTTGTTTCTCTCACAAGAACTCCGTGGTCAGGAATAGCTCTTGGGCAAACTGGGAACATTCTATCTGGGACCTAAACTTGGTGCATGTGTGTTCTTTCTTGTAGGGATTTCGTGTTGATTTACCTATCAAGTCTGCACGGTACCGTGGGCAGTACAGCAGCTATCCTATCAAGCTCTTTTATACCTCCAACATTCCCATCATTCTGCAGTCTGCCTTGGTCTCGAACCTCTATGTTATTTCCCAGATGTTGTCTGTTCGTTTCAGCGGCAACTTCTTGGTGAACTTGCTAGGACAGTGGGCAGTAAGTATTTTAGCACTTTTTTAACTCCATAAAATTGTCTGTATTACATCATTGTGGAACTTTGGTATTTAACCAGCAGAAAACTGGAATACTTACTTTTTACGCTTCTATATAAAAATATTTTAAACATGGAAGAGGAATTCCTCTATAAATACAGGATGGGAACGTAAGAGACCTGCAAGAAATAACTAACTGCCTTTTTCTTCCCCTCTCACAGGACGTCAGTGGCGGTGGACCTGCTCGCTCTTACCCTGTTGGTGGCCTGTGCTACTACTTGTCCCCTCCAGAATCCATGGGTGCAATATTTGAGGATCCTGTCCATGTCATAGTTTATATCATATTTATGTTGGGATCCTGTGCTTTCTTCTCAAAGACTTGGATTGAGGTCTCCGGCTCATCAGCAAAAGATGTAGGTGTTCTCACAGACGTGCCTAAATGTTTTCAAAGGCTGCCTCTGATTTGGAACTGACTAGTTCCTAACTGATCAGTTATTACTCTGACTAGTTCCTAACTGATCAGTTATTACTCTGACTAAATACCAGGTGACTACGAAACAGGGCAGCAGTATCATAAAATCACAATTTTTTGCAGGTTGCCAAGCAACTCAAAGAACAGCAAATGGTGATGAGAGGCCACAGGGATACTTCAATGGTTCATGAGCTTAACAGGTAAGGAAAGGCTGACTTCCAGCCGTGCTGCTGTACTGGGTGGTTATGTGTGCTAGGGAGGCACCAACCAGAACAGATATTCTCAGAAACATCACAGACCTGTTTCCACTGCCAGTGTCATGATTCTTCCCGTTCAGCTGTTGCCTTTCCTTGTCATGCAGAAGGCGTTTGAAGCAGTAGGTAAGAGGTTAACCTGTAGTGTTATAATATAACATGCCCTTATAATGATATAAGCGGCATAATGAAGGAATTTGGGTTGAATCTCTTCCATGTTTGTAAAAGGAAGATACTTTGACTTTTACAGGTGTTTAATTTACCGTTACTGAAAGAAGATGACACTCCAAAACCAGTATTTTATGCAGTACGCAGATTGCAGATCCATATTGGAGGGTAGATTTATCCCTACCTATTTAAGTCAAAGCAGTTATTCCTGGTCCTGTGGAGGTTACCCAGCACACATATATATATATAAAATTGTTATACTTTGAATTGAAAAGCTTTGCCAGTGTTCAGTTATTCACACACCTTTCCTCTCAGCAAACATTTATTTCAGTTTCTACTCTGTGCAAACGTGGAAGATACCAAGAGTTAACGGCAGAGTCGCATTTGCCACGCTGAATTTGTTGCTCAGTGTTCTAGTTGGTTGTTTGAGTAGTACATACATATTGTTAGAATCTTGGGATGAAAATTCATGGTGATGAATACATTTTTTTTGTTCCTTTGGTACAGGTATATCCCTACAGCAGCTGCATTTGGTGGCTTGTGCATTGGTGCCCTCTCGGTGTTGGCTGACTTTCTAGGAGCCATTGGGTCCGGCACTGGCATTCTGCTTGCGGTCACTATTATTTATCAGTATTTTGAAATATTTGTAAAAGAACAGGCTGAAGTTGGAGGAGTAGGTGCATTATTTTTTTAGATGTCCACATATTTCATGGTTTGTGTGAAAGGGAAAGTATTTTGACAACATGTGTCACTTAGTCCACAATAATGCTATTTTCTTTTTTACTTGTTTTCAAGTGCTACGTGTCCCATTCCTGTAATGGGCATTGAGCGATGCCTGTGTGCAGCATTAGTACCAGCTGCCTTAAGAATAAAGTTTACATTGATTTTGTTTAAGTATTATCTAGTGTTGCCTGTAATGCTGGAAATCAATTCATCTACCTTGCTGTTCAGACACTACAGTGAGATGGTAAAATGTATCAGTTGGATAGCGGTAAACATTTTTGCACACAGCATTAGAAATAAATTTATTTCCCTGTCCTTAATAGAAAAAAAAAAAGAATAAATCTGAGTTCAGATGCCACGTGCCAGTGTTCTTGACAAAATTTATTTGTAGCCTGTATTTTACATTGATTTTTTTTTTTTATATATATATACACTTTTTTTAACTTGCATTTCCCCATCATTGAACTCAGCACTCCTTATCCCTTTGCGCTGTCTCCACCCAGACACCTTTCTCTTAGCTCTAAGGGTGGACAAGCAAACATTTTACCGGAGACTGATACTCATCTCACCTGTGAACTGGTTCTGTGGTGGATTTGCTGCATCCATGGCCGGGCCTGGGGCGCTGCGGTTTCTTGCCCTGGGCCTCCTGCGGGACAACACGGCAGCTGCTGTCGTGCCAGCGAGTCAGCCCAGTAGTTTTGTTTAAACATGTACTTGTGAGAACTGTGCCACTGAAACTTCACGTCCACTTTGCTTTCGTGAGTCTAAAGAACAAGGCCTGCTTCCCCAAGCAGCGT